GCAATCCACTCACCTCAGCCTCCCAAAGGCACGGGATTACAGGCTGAGCCACCGAGTCCTGCTGGAGCCCCTCTTTTTGAGGGGCTTTTAGAAGAATACTTTTCAGATTCATGATAAACAGAAATGCATACTAGTCTGACCACCTTTCTCTCAGGCGCTCTTCAAAAAGAAGGCACTGTGTAAAGTAATGTTTTCTAGGTGGGCTTAAACAGCAGGTAGACCCATCTCACCTTGGTGTGAAAACTCTGAGAGGTCACCATTTACTGAGCATTTAATGGTAGGCCAAGCCTGGGCTGAGAGATTGTGTGAATCACCCCAGTTAACCCCAGATGCCTTCTGAGGTAGGGCTCCCAGAACCTAAGGAACTTTCCAAGTGCATCCACTCAACTGTAAGTGGCAGTACAATGGTGTGAGCCCAGGTCCATGTGGTCACTCATTCAGCCCCATGTTCTTTAGTGCTGAGCATGGGGAGACACGGCAGGGGCCTGCTCAGCCAAACTGCACAGCTATCAACAGCTTGCATGGGTTTGTTATGTATACTGATTGTTATGCATGCCACATGCTGGGTCAGGCCTATCCTCCTATCACCAGCCTGTGGCAGGACCTCAGTGTGAGGTCTGGAGCCCTGGACAAGGCCAAGCCACCCCAGTGAGGGAGGCTGGTGCTGAAGGAGTCCACCTGGGCTCATTCCAGCCTGCTGGAGGGAGAGGCACCTACAGCAAAGACAGGGAGAGAGCTGTAGACTGGAAGGTGGATAGTCTGGGGTCACAGCCCATCCTCCCTTCCCAGCTGTGGGTCATTGGGTCAGTCACGGGCTTTGGCTTTCTTACCTTGAAACAGAGACACGGCAGGGGCCTGCTCAGCTTCCAGGTGCAAGGTTGGGTGGAGAAGACAGGCTTGGCTAACTGTGCGTGTGGAAGGGGCTATTGTTTTCAGATATCTGGAAGTTACACAGGGCTGTAAGTTGGGAGGGAGCTTGTGTGTGTGTGTCAATACCCTTGTTCCCTAAGATATTCCAATATAATTTATAAGCACACGCACAGTCTTCAAGATAGAAATCTGTGAGTAAAGAAAGTGAGACAAAGGGAAAATAAGAAAATACAGTACAAGATTAAGCCAGGGGTGTGTTTAAGACATGCCATAAAGGTCTGTGTACTTGACCTTGTACTTCCGGACAGCTGGCGCCACGAGGGAAACAGATAACGCGTTAGGAGTTTCATAGTGTCCATTGGATCAAAACAAGCCAGTTATGCTGAGGGAGCAGGGCCACTTTGAAAGCCATATAAACAGTAGGTTGCATGCAGGGATGGAGAGGCATGATTCTAGAAAACACATATGATAGGACATACCCAGAGTATTAGTGTGGTCAATGCACAGAAGCTTAGTGGAGAGCCCCTTCCTGCTTCTACCAGGGCCAAACTGCACAGCTCTCAACAGCTTGCAAGGACCGAGGACCAGCCTGTGAGCTAGCCTTGTGAATGGCCAGGCCCCAAAGACAGGAGGCTTGCAAAGTAGAAATAAGGCAGGCTGTGGTCTTTCTCTCCTGGGTGCCTGCTTTTCTGTTTCCCTGGCGAATCTATTCCATTCTCCTAGCCTCTGGTCTGTGTCTGTTTGGCTTTCACATGCTCTGGTTTACATGCCGTTTGTGGCTTGCTGCCTTCTCAATGCCCCAAAGCATTTCTGCCTTCTGTTTCTGCCCTAACCACCTTGGTCTTTCCACTCTCCAATCCAAATTCCAAGAGAAGGCTCTGATTTGGCCGGTTCATCCCTTTCAGCTTCATGGGCTGCCTTCGGCTAACAGATGGGTATCTTTGGAGCAGGTGCTGCCCTGGTGGGAGTTTGAGATTGCAGGTTCAGGTGGCATACATGGGATACCTCTAACCTCTAACAGGGCTGTGAATGGCAGTGTTTCTTGTAGCAGGCACAGACATGACAGGCAGATCAAACATGTCTAACATACTACACACATGCTTCCAGGGAATGACAGCCCTTCCCTAACCTACATTTGCTTTGGGTGTTTCTAGGGTAGATGTGGATTCCCAGTTGCCCCCGTCGTGCGCTCCCCTTAATCCACACGATGGGATTGTGAAAGCAGACTCTCCTGTGCAGCTTTTGCTCTGTGGATGATGGGCGACTACCGACTCTCTGACCAGCCCCAACCCGTGGAACTTCTCAACGTCTGTTTGGGAGACAACCTGCAGCCCTGCCCAGGAGCATGCCCAAGGGAAGTGTGTGGCTCTCAGGACCCTCCTGAGCCTCCGAGGGAGCAAACCTGGGCTTTTGACCCTCCTGAGTCCTCCAGACAAGATGCTTCTCCTCAGGACTCTGGTGTGGAACACACACACTCGGGGAGCTGCTCTTCCCAGGGGGAACACAGGCAGAGAGAAGCGTTACCAGGATTGCCTGGGGACAGCCATCCTCTGGGGAGCCCACGGCAAAACCAGAACACATCCACACAGGCGGTGTTCTGGGCAGGCATCCTGCAGGCCCAGATGTGTGTCCTAGACCTAGAGGAGGAGCTGGAGAAGACAGAAGGGCTCAGGGCTGGGCTGAGATGCTGCCTCCCTGCAGCCCCTGTGAACCTCCCTGGGGACACGGGCCTGCACCCCAGCCCACCCAAGGAGGACTCAGGAGGAGACAGCAGTGGGCCTGACGGAGACAACCAGGCATGGCCAAGAGAGGGAACCCCTGACTCTTCCCCAGAGTGGGGTGCTGAGGAGGAGAGCTTGTTCTTCGACAACCCCCTCTTCCTGGAGAGTCCTTGTTCAGAGACCAGTGCTTCTGGAGAGCGCTTTTCCTGGGGGTTCCCAGACCCCCATGCAGATGTGCGGACTGGACCTGAGAGCCCTCATGCCCTGGAGCCTCCACCTCCAGAAGACACAGTATTGTGGGAGCTGGGAAGCGAGCCAGATTTGGGGGACAGCACTGCTGAGACCGGTGGACACAGCACCCCTCCATTCCCTGTGCCCATCTACAAACCACATTCCTTGTGCTGGACCTCAGTGGCTGCTAATGAGGAGGCTCCCACATCACCCTCTGGTCAAGGGGAGGGCGAGGTAAGCTCAGTCCTGGGAATCAACTCAGGGCTGTTCTGGTGATGCAGAAGGGAGGGTCAGGCCCAGAACATTTGTTTCAATACCAAGACCTTTTGGGATCTGGGGTAATGGAACAGAAAATCAGGACCAGTGTGACCTCCAGAAGAATTAGGAAATTTTATCAATGCCATGATGTCAACTGAACATGATGGGAGTTAAGTCCACAAATGTTTCCCTCTCCCAAGCTCTAAGGGGCTATGTCTAGATACGTTTGGAGAACAAACAACTCCTCCAATTGCAGCGTGTTCCAAGCTATTCTCACATTATTCTCCTCCCACCTCCAAGACGTTCCCAACTATAACAGGGCAGGGGTCAACTTGCCAGGGTGACCTCTGCCCCTAACAGAGAGATGCCTATTTTCAGAGTCCTAGTCTCTCTTTTCTTGGGAGATTTTGGCATTTTGTTACATTTAGCTCAACGTCTTTTATCCTCCACCCCTCTCCCCCAAGTCCAGTGTCAACAGTTCAGGCCCATATGACAATGGTGGAGATCCTTGATATCAACTGGGGATGGGGACAAGCTCTGCAAGACAATAGGGAGCACAGTTTTCCAAGGGAGGTCTCTACTTAAGAGATAAGGAGATTCAAGATGGCAATGTGAGGCTGTAACTTTCTAATCTCTCAGTTCCCCAAGAACAATGAGAAGAGCTGTCCACCAGAGCAGCTCTCTCACCTGAGCCTCAAGATTGAGGAACTCCCAAGTGCTGATGGGAGTCCCCTCTACCACATGCCAGGGCCCCAGTGTGGGTTGGTCAGATCTGTGTTTCCTGGAGGTACATTTTCTCAGGACCTTTTTGCTCTAAGCACTGAAGTTCTCAGGGGAAGCCTGGGAGCTCCTTAAAGTTATAGGTTGGCTCCCATGTGGTATGGCAGAGCCCACTCAGCCTGGTGCCTGGGGGCTACCACCCTCCCTAAATCAGCTCCTTCAAGGGCTGGCACCACTTGAATGAAGTAGGGCCATGTGGGCAGACTGAAGGGAGGAGGCCCCCTGGAATGTGGAAAAGGGCCTGGAAGCAATTTTTCTTGAAATCTCTCCTTTTCTTCTCTCTCTCTAGACTTCTCTTGGACATAGGCTTGACCCTGCTCCATCTACAGCACTCTGTGTGGACAAAATATTGACCTGGGAAACAGCACACGTTGAATCTGACCTTAGCCCTGCCACACATGCTGTGCAACCTTGGGCAAGTCACTTCCCCTGTCTGGACCTCACTTTCTCCATCTTTGGAGGAGAAACGTGAACCCATTGATTTTCAAGGTCTAGCACCAACACTCCTAAGATGTGGGTCTTCTCCCATCCAGCATTCTCTCTGAACTAAGACACCAGACTGATGCCCATGTAGTCTGGGTGGGAGAATGGCAAGGAGAAAGGGCCATCTGTCTGCTCATGGCATCCCTCCCCTCCCCCCCTTTTCCCTCTCCCTGCCTGGCCTCTTCCCTACTCACCTTTCCATGTCTCTAGGGCTCATAGAAACACGTATGCCTCTTTCAACAGGCCCCACCCAGCCCTGAGGAATGGCAGACAGAAGAAGGTTTTTCCTGGCCCCAGGAGCCTCTTGTCTCCCAGGACAGAGGTGAGACCCAGTATGGAGGCCTGAGGAATTGGATGGTAGAGGCTTTGGGATTTGGAGTGAGAACAAAGATCGTTCTTGGATCCATGGTTGTCATGAACAGGTTCCATTGTATTGTGCTCCAGCCAGACAGACTTGGGGTTAAATTCTGCCTCCTTAAAGAGTAAGTGAAGGAAATGTACAAAAGACTCCGCATTTTCAATACCTGGATCTTAGTGATTTACAGCAAGTGTCCTGAGCCCTTAGTTGCCTTGAGCTTGGAATCCTGCTGGCTGCCTGCTGCCTCTGCATGTGGGAGAGGTCACTGCCCGAAGGAGGGACAGGGTGTGCTGCCAGGCTCTAGGGGAAGAGCCCTGGGGAGGGAGCTTCTGGAGGTGGCACCGTGCTGTTCTCCTGCCTCCTTCCCTGTGCTCACCTCATTCCATGCTCTTCCTCAGGTGAGAGAGAGTCTGGGTGCCCCCCGGAATCTGATCCCTGCACCTTGGTCCCTACCTCCCGGGGGAGCCCAGCTTCTTCACCGGAGCCCAGCAGCCCAGAGTCTGAGAGCACAGGCCTTGATCCCAGACCCAGCCCCACGTCATCCCAGGAGGGCAGCCCTCAGCTCCAGTGCCACAGCTCGGGCACTTTTCCCAAGTGGACACTAGATGCTTCACACACTTCACTCTTGGAGACAGATGGGGCACAGCCAAGTTCCCTGGAGAAAGAAGAAGCAGAGGAGGCCCTAAACTCGGGGAAGGAAGTAAAAAGTGATAGCACAGTTAGGCCTGCAGAGGCTGAAGGCATCCAGGCTGACCTGCACCTGACTTCTGCAGAAGGGTAAGTCTTGGGTGAACTGGCTCTCAGCTCCTAATTATGGGTGCACTTAATAATACCCTGGTCTGGTTAGAGCATGAGAAATACACATTAGGATTTGACATGCTAGTATTTATTATGAATGGATTAAACGACTAGGCACTAGGAAAGTGTTAAGAAAGACTGAAGGGTTTAAAAGCATCAGAAATGAAAGAGTGGACAGTCATACCTGGAGGCAGGATCTGAGTGTTCTGGGGCGGGGCCTCAAGAGAAATGTCTGCAGCTTGGATACCAGGAAGGGGCCGGGGGGTTGGGGGAGGCATCCAGGGAACCTGATCAGGGCTGTGTGCCTAGAAAAAGGGGAAGTCTTGGGAGGTGGAGAGTCAGAGCTTGTGATGTGGAGATTATAGACTGCTTTGAGGAGGTGACTGGAAGGAATTAATCAAAGAGCCTAGGCCCAGAGTGGGTCTCACTAAACCTAAGTTTGATGGAGGGCCCAGGGAAATGATCATGGGGCACACTGTAGGATTGTATAACCTCAGAACTATGACCAGAGTTAGGAATAGGTCAACTAGGAAGCACACCTAGATGTCTACCTGCCCCAGGACATTGCATTAAGACTATCAGCCCTGGGATCTCTATGCTGAGAAAGAGGTTTTCTTCTCTAGTTGGCCAAAGAGGGGTCCTATTGATGAGGCTAGAAGGAACCAGCGATAGTTCAGGGCCTAATGGTGCAGTAACTGGAGGGTTGACCCCACTCCTATCTCAGTGTCCTTGAGTGATGGTGACAGAACATCAATTGGCCAGAAGCCAAAGAACCATCTTCCTGGTACCTGGAAACTAGGCTGCCCTGGAGATGCTCCGAGGCTTGGTCATTAGAAAAGGCCCACCTTTAAAAATGGAGGGTTCATTATATTAAAATGCAAAGTACATCCTCCCAAAACCAAAGTAAGTAAATCCACCTAGAATTAGAAAGATACTTTCATAGTAAATAATGGAAAAATGTTTCATTGGGGTTTTACCTTGGTAAATGACACTAAACACTATACAAATAAGTTTAATTATTATTTTATTATTATAATTTTTAAAATTTTTTAGGTCAGAGTTTCACTCTGTTGCCCAGGCTGGAGTGCAGCGGCATGATCACAGCTCACTGCAGCCTCAACTTCCTGGGCTCAGACGATCCTTTCACCTCAGCCTCTTAAGTAACTGGGACTACAGGCACACACCACCATGCCTGGCTAATTTTTTTTTCTTCTTGTGGAGATGAGGTCTTGCTATGTTACCCAGTCTGGTCTTGAACACCTAGGCTCAAGCATTTCTCCCTCTTTGATCTCCCAAAGTGCTGTTATTACAGGTGTGGGCCACCACATCCAGCTGATTTCTTCTTATTTAACACAATGCAAGAAGTTTAATTTTCCTGGCACAAGTTTGCTGGCTGGATGAGATGTCTTTCATGCATGCTTGACTTTCACAGTGAGATTATAAAGGTCATTAAAAAAACCCCAGCTATATCGAGAAATAATTCACATACCATAGAATTCACTCATCTGTAGTATATAATTCCATGTTTATTTGTATTTGCATACTGGTTTTTTTCAAAGTGCTTCCCCATCTAGGTATTATTTTTTTAGCAGCAATGCTAATTGACTAGGTAATTTTTTAAAACATATTTTAGAGCTTTGTCAGTTGATTATTCAAATAATCAACTCTTTAGAAGTGGCAACTAAGTCATTTTTTTTGTTTCCTCATCTCCCTGTTTACTGGGCTATCTCTTTCAGTTCTTCATTTGTATGATCCTGGAGTCTTCCAGCATCACTTTCATGGACTTAATGAAAACCCATTTGTTTGCAAAACGTGTAGTTTCACTTTTCAGTTGATTTCTGGTCTGTTCATGAATCTCAGGAAGCAGGGGACCCAGCAGAGACCCTGGCCCATCCGAGTTAGATGGAGAGGGTAGCTGAGGGAAGTCTGCCATTATAAGTGGTCAGTTTATCAGCAAATATTTTCATGTTTAATGATTTTTGCTTATCTGTACCACTTCCAAACTGTGGTAACTTGGATGATGAATGCTTAAGCAATTGGGATACCCCACACCAGGTTGTAACATTGCAGGGGAAACCGAAGAATCAGAGATTGGATTGAGTGACATCTTAAGAGTCTTAGTGCTCGACTTGGAGGTTCTCTGAGCCTGGGAGTTGCCTGGATCTGTTCACACTTGTAATGGGTCACCATCTAGTCTCCTTGCCAGCAGCTTCCAGGTGGAGGACGGGAGAGACTGGGGACCACCTCCTGGGCTTTCCCAGCTGTTGCCATTCCTAGACCCAGTCTAGCTTCCCGATCTTGGCGCATCCTTACAGCTTGCTTGGCTTCAGCTCTAGGAGTGTAGTCTAGAGCTGAAGGAGGATGTGGAGAAGGGACAAGGAGGCATATGAGGATCACAGGCCAGGTGAGGGAGACAACCCCCCCAGCTGTGGGTTGGACAAAACACCACTGGGGTCTTCAAAGGGCTTCACCCGCTACTGGAGGGGAGATAAGCCTGGAATATCCCTGTGGTTTACCCGAGGAAGCTAGGGCACCCAACCCTCATGGCCTCGCATGAATGAATACCTACCTTCCTCTCTGGTTCTCCCAGTCCCAGGCCAGGTCAGGTCAGTCAGGCTGTGTCTCTGCCAGACCCTAGGTGAGTGTCTGAGTTCAGCCCCTCTAGGTCCTACCATACAAGGCCTTGGCGCCTCAGCTCCACCCCTGAGTTCAGAGCACCCCCTTCCACTACTGACCTGCAAGGACACTTGACCCAGAGGCCCTGCTTGTCCATTGCAAATGAGAGTCTGAGGACACTGATGGACCCTTGCAGGCTTCCTGAGAGCCCCATGCCCCAAGCAAGATTCACAGAGGAAGGCCAGAAGCCACCAGCTGGAGACAAGCTGGCTAACGGTGTCAGGAACGACAAGGTAGCCTGGAAATTGGCTTCACGTCTCTATCACCTAGAAGGCTTCCAGAAGTCTGAAGTGGCTGCCTACCTGCAGAAGAAGTAAGGGGCTTTGAGCCCAAGGAGGGCTTGAGGCTAAGGCAGGTCAGGGAGGAGCTGCTAATGGGCTCCCTCCACTGACTGCCCTTTTCTCCATGTCCCCTCCTCTCATCCTATCTTCTCTGTCCTGGTCCCACCCATTTCTTCCTCACTTTCCCTCATACCCTCACCATCCCTGCTTTCTCCTCTTGGTTGCACTGTATTACCTCTTCTTCACACCTCGGTCCTTGCTTAAAGATCTTGGACCCCACTGCCTTGTCCACCCAGACTCCATGGGTCCCTCCCACTCAAGATTCGACGTGTGTACCAGAGGCATAGCAGACCCTGATGCCCCCTTTCCCTCTCAGCATCTGAGGTTGAGCCTGGCTGTGCCTTTCCCATGCTCAGACCCTACCCCGTCAAACCCATGATGTGTACAGGTTCTGGGGGGCCTCTCTATATCTGGGGTCTCAGCCAGCCCTCCAGCTTGATGTGTGCAGACTGTATCCCCATTTCCCTTTGCAGCAATGACTTTAGCAGGGTTGTGGCTGAGGCATACTTGTCCTTCTTCCAGTTTGGAGGCCAGAACCTGGACCGAGCCCTTCGGTAATGCCTTTGGGTCCTCTCTGAGGAGGCCGTGGAGGAGGGATGGTACCGGGTGGTGGCATGGGCTGAGGCTGGGATCTGATTGGCCCTGAGCTCCTGGGCTCTCTCCTTGACAGGGGCTTCCTCCAAGCCCTGGTGCTCAGTGGGGAGACTCAGGAGCGGGAGCGAATCCTCTACCAGTTCTCCAAACGCTTTCACCATTGCAATCCTGGGGTCTTCCCCTCAGTAGGTAGGGAGGGGCCTTCCCCGAGGGCAGGGCAGGGGGACTTTGGGGTGCCTGTGTCCTCTTGGGAGTTCACGGGTGGCAGCGTGTTGGGGACTGGAAGCATTTTGGGGGTGGGGGTTGTCATCCCACCTATTGTGGGTGGAGGAAACTAATGACCCCTGGTTCCAATGAACTTTCTCTCCACTCATCTCTCTGTGGCAGATTCTGTACATACCTTGACGTGTGCAATCATGCTCCTTAACACAGACCTGCACGGGCAGGTAAGAAGGTGGGAGCATGCCTGTGGGAACCGAGCCAGGGGCCAGGGTCAGGGGCTATGGCATGAGGAGGAGAGAAGTCTGGGGATAGGTCAGGGAAAGGCCTTGGGGGTTGTAGGCCTGAGGAACTGGAGAAGGCTCTGGAGCGTCTGGCTGGGGGTTATTCTGTTGGGGTGGGGTGTGTGCTCAAGCTGTCTCACTTCTTCCCATGGCCACAGAACATCGGGAAAAGCATGAGCTGCCAGGAATTCATAACCAACCTGAATGGCCTGCGAGATGGTGGGAACTTCCCCAAGGAGCTGCTGAAGGTATGTGCAGTGGGGCCCGGAGCCTGGGTTCCTTGTCCCAAGGGGACTACTAAACTCAGGCCTGGCTCTGCCCAGATATCCTTGAGAAGACAGGGCTTCTTTGCTGAAGGGCTCCTAAATGTGTGTTTCCTGGCTGCAGCATCAGTGGCATCCTGGAATTTGTTACCCCCACATATCCACAGGCCCCTGACCCAGACCTACATGAATCAGACTCTCTGGGATTGGGGCCCCTAAAACGTTTTATTTACTTTCCAGGCGATTCTTACCCCCCTTTGAATTCTGGAAGCACTGGTGTGTTGGTTCTCTAGGTGGGCGGAGAGCAAAGCTTCACACGACAAAAGTCTAGTGCTCTGACTTGGGAGCCTGAGGTTCCTGGGTTTGAATCTAGTCTTGGGCAATTTACCCCCTGGCAGCTCAAGAGCCTCATGGGGGTAATAACAATGTCATTATCGAGATGAAATACAATTTGTCAAGTGCTCAGCATGATACTTGGCACCCAGCATGCATATCACCAGCAATTAGACCATTTGCTCTTTCATCAACAGAGTTGTGTCAGGCAACAAGAGGGGTATGTTCTGAGAAATGCAATGTTAGGTGATTCTGTCATTGTGAGAACATCATAGAGTGCACTTACACAAACCTAGATGGTGGAGCCTACTACATATCCAGACTATATGGTGTAGCCTATTGTTCCATACAGAACACCATAGGCAACTGTAACACAGTGGTATAAGTATTTGTGTATCAAACATAGGAAATGTACAGCAAAACTATGGTACAAAAGATAAAAATGATATGCTCGTACAGGACTGTCCCATTATAATCTTATGGGACCGCCATCGTATACATGGTCCATGCTTGACTGAAACATCGTGATGTTGTATGTGACACATGACTGTATTTAACAAATGTTTATTGAACACCTACTATGTGCCAGGTTCCCTGCTAGGCACTGCAAGGGCTATGAAAGCAAGTGGGATACATCTACATTAATCCTATTAATATTCCTTATTATTTCAAAGTTCCAGCACATCATTCACTCATTCATTTACTGCACATTTATTGCGAGGGCAGGCCAGCTGGTTCCTTCTGCATCAGATACCTCTGGAAAGGATGGCATGTGGTGATTCGTTTCCCCTTCAAGAGAACTAGTTCAGGCCTCACTAAATGAGGGCAGGGCAGAGACTTGGCTGCCTTGATCTTTACATCTCTAGCACCCAGCACAGTGCCTGGCACTTGAGAAAGGCTCCATAAAAAATTTGTTGCATGGATGAACCAATGGATGGACACTTACCTGCTCAAGGAAGAGGGCAGCTGTATTGAGATTGGAGGACACAGGTGGTACACATGCCACACCCCTCTCCTACCTCTGCCCGACAGTGAGTTGAGGCCCACCGCCCTGAGACTCCCTTGCCCACCTTTGTGCTTTTCTTCCAGGCCCTCTACTGGTCCATCCGCAGCGAGAAGCTTGAGTGGGCTGTGTGAGTGAGAACCCCTTCCCTCCCTCCTCACCCCTGGCCATTGTCCTGCCTCTGTTGTCAACCTGATAAGTGGAGGAGTTCAGGGCCCTGGTCAGGGCGCCCCTCTTAGTGGGGTGGAGCCAGAGGCAGGGTGCTGGGCAGAGAGGGTAGAGGAGGCCAGGTAATACTGGAGCAGCCAGGGGTAGTGGGCATGTATGGCAGTGTTTCCAGAAATTGATGGGCTGGTTTTAAAGGAGGACTCCTTTTGGGGAGTTCTGGGGTGTGACTCCCCAGCAAGAGAAAGTGTACTGAGGCCCTGGAAGACAAGGGATACCTCCCAGTGCTCTCTGCCCAGTCAGCATGCCCAGTCTGACTCTCTGATGTCCAGGGATGAAGAAGACACAGCTAGACATGAGAAGGCCCGGCCATCTCCAGCAGCTGGGAAGATGAGCAACCCCTTCATCCAGCTGGCTCAAGACCCCACAGTGCCTACCTACAAGCAGGGCATCCTGGCTCGGAAGATGCATCATGATGCGGATGGCAAGAAGAGTGAGTGTTGGCTGCCCATGAACGGGGTGGTATGCTCAGAGCAGTCCTGCTCAGGGACCCGTGCTGATGCATGCACAGAGAGGTGCAGAGAGGTGGCCCATGAGGACAGGCAACCCACGGTCCTTCCCTTAACATGTCCTGAACAGTGACCATGTGCCAGGGGCTGTGTGAGGCACTGGTGGGCAAGCTGGTGCGGGGGAGGAGAGGGATCAAAACAGGCCTAGTGGTTCCTGGGCCCGAGTCCTTGAGGTAAAGTACAAACTAGACAGGCACATCAGTGTCTAGGATAAAAGGAAGAAGTTACTGAGTATGTAGAGAGGACTGGATCAAGTGAGGAGGGAAGAGTTTTGATTTTGTTTTGGAGGTGGACTGTGGGGACAGGGATAGGGAAGGCTTCTGGAAAATGACAGTATCTGAGCTGAACTTTGGAAGATAAGAGGGTCAGGATTTTTGAAGCTGGGCAGAGGGCATCTCCCTCAGAGAAAAGAGCAAGTAGCATTTGCTCAGAATGTGTGAAAGGGAGGTGGATTTGGGACACAATTGCCAGGGTGTGCATTTGGGCCGAATTCCCCAGGCAGCGAAGCTTTTGAGGGCAGCTACGTAAGCAGAGCAGCGACGTCATCAGACTAATGTAGAATCTCAGATTGAATGGATTGGGGCAACCAGGAAGGAAACTAGCATTGGCAGTGAGAAGCTACCGGGGTCTGGGCAGGACCCCAGGGGGATGACCATAGGGAATCAGGCCTTCTGCCCAAGGAGTAGGTCTCAACCACACAAAACCAAGGGTGAGGAGGTGGGGGGGGAGGAGTGGAGGCGGCTGGTGGCCAGAGTGGGGTGCACTGGGAATGACACCCCTGGGCTGGGAGCTGAGCTCCTCAGGATGGGTACACAATATTGAGATCATCTCTCAGGGACTGAAAGCTATCTGAGTAGACTTGCACGCAGGGTTCTGGCTGTGTGTTTGTGGAGGGGATAGGCTGCATGAATATCCACATTTGTATGTGAGCAGCTCTCTGGTTTTAGCTACAAGCAGGATTCCTCGTGTGTGGAGTGTCTATGTGCTTGCTTGTGAACGGATGTGTGTTCTTGTGTTGGTATGTTCTGTTTTTGTGTATCTTGGTGAGAGAATGGAGGTGGTGTGAGGGCAGGGGGACTGTGTGCACACTTGTGTGTGTCTCAGTGTGTCTGGATGTGGGTGCCACACCCACCTTTGTGTTCTGCTCTTGGAACAGCACCGTGGGGCAAGCGCGGCTGGAAGATGTTGCACACCTTACTTCGAGGAATGGTTCTCTACTTCCTGAAGGTAGGATGGGAGTCGATGCCCCGACGGGCAGCATGGGGAACAGAGAGGGGCCTGGAACCATCAGGAGGATGGACATCTGAGGATAACCTCTTCTCTCACCCCTGTGCCCGGTGGCAGGGAGAGGATCACAGCCCTGGGAGCGAGAGCTTGGTGGGGCAGATGGTAGACGAACCAGTGGGGGTGCACCACTCACTGGCCACCCCGGCCACGCATTACACCAAGAAGCCCCACGTCTTCCAGCTGCGGACTGCAGACTGGCGCCTCTACCTGTTTCAGGCACCGTAAGTTCCTGGGGTGGGAGACAGTGGCAAGGCCTCGGAGGCCCTGACCCTGCTCACACCTAATACTCACAGGCCTCAGAGATGGCCATACTGATCAGGAACCTTTAGAAAACTGCAGCGGAAAAAGGAGCTGGACGCAGGGAGGAACCCTGGACACCTCTGCACCTCCCTGCCCTTGGCCAGCTTTGCCAGCCCACCAGCCTTTCCTTGCAAGTCGGATCAGGCCTCCCAGTTCTGAACAGAAGATTCCAGGATGCCACTAACAACTGATCATTTGGGGCATTTGATAGAAAATCTGTTGCCTTCCTGGGTTTTCCTCTTTTCGGATAAGTAAAGCCATGGGCAGAGGTGGAGCACCCTTCCGGTGGCAGGGTTTCTGGCTGTTGGAGGCTGAGTCCGGAGCGGCTGGAGGCCGTGCAGACCACGGGAGATGGGGCAGGGGGTGACAGAACCGACTCTGTGTCCCTGCGGACTGACGCCCTCCTCTGTCCCCAGCACTGCCAAGGAGATGAGTTCCTGGATCGCGCGCATCAACCTGGCCGCCGCCACGCACTCGGCGCCGCCCTTCCCCGCCGCCGTGGGCTCCCAGCGCAGATTCGTGCGGCCCA